CCGGGCCCCCCCCCCCCCCCCCCCCCCCCCCCCCCCCCCTCCCTCTTGGCGGCCCTGCTTAGAGCTACTATCTGTTTTACAAAGGGTCTGAATTTAATGAAGGGCTGAACTCGGGCTATTTTTTCCCGGGATCAAACATATAGGAAATGCATGGGGAAGCCCTGGGAAGAATCTCCGATTTAATTATTTCATCCATCTGCCCTCAGTGGGCCAGACGGTGCTAAGACCCATAACAGTTGTGATGGCTCTAGGAAAGCATTGACTTGTAAATGTTTTCTACTTAGCTCATAACCTATTCCAATTATGTAAATTCAGAAAATATTAGAATCTTAGTTTACGTTTTGGTTGAAGTTAGTATACTCATCTAAGTTGAAACAGTACGTCAACTCTGTAGAAGGTAGGATCACATCTAAGTGCACCTGGGACACGTCACGTACGGGCATGGCGAATCTCAGTGAGCAGAGGCTTTTAACAAGTGTTAGGCCTTGTACTCATGCCTACTTGGAATTGATCCATAAAGTAGGAAGTTGAATAATGTTTTTTTTTGTTATTATAACGTTAGATAAAAGTTAAAAGAGCTCTAGTAGACACATTTCTGCCCTATAATGGTATGTACGGGTCTGAATGACTGAAGTATTGAATGCCCCAATGTTGAAACTGCAGAGTGAAGAACATCATATACCAGTAGGCCTAAATTTAGGCTTGTACTATTTACTTTTCACTTGGGTCCGACCTCCCCCCCCGTCAGGACCTTCCCATGCATGGGTGTCAGTCAACGGAAAACATCTAACGGTAAAGCCGTAGCATGTAAGATAGGCTAGGCGTACATAGACGGTAAAGGATACATTCCGAGGATTGATCAGTTTTGGTTCAGGACGTAGCATTTGATTGCCTTCTGTGCCTTGAGCCATGGAATCGGTCACTATTGTATGGTGTGTATGGTGAGAGGTGGTTCCAGCATGATCAGGTCTCAACTTTTGATGCAGGGTTCTCATCCATGGAAGCTGGCTTGGTTACATTTGAGGGGGTGGGCAGAGTAATTAGATGCTTAATAGGATGGATCTTCATTGCTTACATTATGAAATAGGATCAAGTCTTCTGTCTAAAATAGTGTGGCAGGGGTCATAACTGAAAGCATAATAGTGCCTAAATGTATCATATATACCTAATAGGCATTTATTAGCATAGCTGGAAGTTTATTGCACCCAAACATAGGGAAATTTCAACTGATTCTCATCATTGGTCAGGACCCCTAATGGATTGATAATAGTACTGATATCTTCCTTGCTCATGTGAACTCTTTCACAACAGAAGGCTTCTGAAGGCTAATCTTGAAATTTATGACAATATCTGGAAAAACTTAATTTCGAAATGCTCATTGAATCAATAGACAAATGATGTTCATACCTATTATTGGTGATAGCTTAGGTTTCTTCATTGTTATTCTGAATTCAATGTATTTTCAAGAAAAGCACAAACGCAATGATAGAAGAGACAAAAGGCTCTATTTTTGGTACTAGCAATAGGAGTTTCAAATAGAAGCACCAAGTTACCAACTGGTGGGTTTTAACTCAAGAAAGATGCTGGCGAGGCATACAAGTGAAGCATTGCTGCCAGCAAAAGGGAAGCCAAAAGAATATTTATCTAATATTGAGTTAGGCATTCTTTCACTTGACCTGAAGGATGTGATGAGGAGTTGTTTCATCAATTGAGCGTGAAACTCTTCTAGCTGTGATCAAAAACTTTGCCTACATGTTCACAAGTGTACTGACTTTTAGGGAGGTCATTTTGTAATTATGTAATTAGATAAAATTTAGAGAGTTTTCCAATGAATCTGTGTATCTATGTCTCCTATACTGATATTGGTCATAACACATTTTTATCACCTTTTATAATGAGGGACATTTTTCTGCCACATCCTGTATAATTAGGCTGGCTGAACCTATTCTAGGCATTGTTGTCTTTGCCATTAACTTGGTGCAGTAGAGGTTTGTATCTGAAGGATTATTCCTGTTATTTTATAAATTTGGTTACCTAAGTCTTTTGTTTTTGAAGGGAAATGTATAGAACTCAATTTGGAAACATTAAATGTTGGCCTGTATAGTTCTAAAGTAGACATACACTGTACTCTCAAAAGTATTTGGACACCAGTAATGTTGAAGGAAATGGATTTTTAATAAGGAAATTAATAATATGTGGGCCCACCTTTGGCCTGAATGACAGCAGTGATCCTTCATGGAATATTTTTTGACTAGTTCACTATAGCAGGCAGCTGGAATTAGTTTCCCTTCACACCTTTATACCTGTTCCTTCTTTGCATACATCTGGCTTGCAGTGGTCACTACTTTCGGAGGGGTGTCTGAATACTTTAAAGAGCATAGTGTATATTTTACCAGTGGAGTTTGTGCTATTCAATAAATTCTGTTATCTTGCAGGAAGATCAGCCTACAGGTGACTTAAAGTCTACCTCACGAACAAGTGGAAAGATGATCAATTTTTAATGGCTTTTAGCAGTCATGCTGTAGGTTTGAAGTTTCACTTTCTATCCAAACCCCTACACCAAAACCATGACACCAAAGACGACAACCTTCACACAGTTGTATGTGCTGTTGCTGTGTGTATTGGTGATCCTAGCTGTCCAATACAATACAGCACTTCGCCTCTGTGCTGATTCCAACTGTGACAGTAAGACAGATTTTCATTCTCCCATTCTTTGGCTAGGGCTAAGATCTTTGTCTATTCTCTGTGTGCCTATCAGTAAACCAGTGTTCTTTCTTGAGAAATCACTTGCAAATTCATCTCAGTCATGCAATCAATAGGCATTGCCCTATATATACAGGGAGATACTGAGTAAAAGGAGCTAGGGCTCATAGGCATATTTTTTTATTAGCCTATGAACTTTCTCCTCCTAGATATACTTTATCTTCCATTCTGGTCTTGAATCTCATGGACACTCCATTCTTTGAGTTTAAGCCAATTAATACTGGTACCCAGTGACTCCATAGGGCCTAGTTGCCCTGTGAGGTCTTCCAAGTGCTGAGTTTTGACCTGACTTCCTAAGTGATGAACGTATGGTGTACATGAAAACTGCTTGAAGGGTTAAGGAGAGGAAGGGAGAGGCACTAGTAAGAGGAAAATTTGAGTTAATACCATGGTGATGTTCCTTGCCATCTAAAGTATCTGTTAAACTTTATTGGACATTCAATGGCAATTAATGAGGAGCAGGATTGTTTTGTTTGCTCAAAACTCCCATGGAACTCCATTATAAGTAAGTATATTACTGGCAATATTTCCAGAAGTGATACAAATCAATTCCATGTTGTCAGATTATCAGAGAAAGACAAGACATTTTCAATATATATGAATGCAATTTCAGAACAGAATTTTGATTATGACACTCATGCCTGATATATTTAACCCAGTATTGTATTAATTTATGAAAATTTGATGTTTTGCCTCCAAACCCAAGACACCCCTCACAATTAATCACAATTTTAATCCTTTCACTGTGGCAATCAATTAAGCTTGATGGCAGGAAGTCAAACCACTTGCACAGTAGTCTCAAATATTACATTATTGACTCACCTGAACTATCCAAGTGTAGTTGGATGATAAATTTGATTTTTCTATGCATAAAGTTAGTACATGAAAAAATTTGGCTTTTAGTCAGTTGTATATGTGGTTATTGTTGGGATAAAAGAATGATTCATGCTCTCTTCAGATTTGCTTGCAGTACTAATGTAACTGCTGATGCTTGGCTGGTTTTGTAAGCTCTTGATACCATGCATTGTCACCAATTGTCTGGTGCCAAACATTAGCTCAAATTTAGTGAAAGTGTAAACCTGAGACAATATGTATTAGCATGACATACTGCAAAGTGGTGAGAGTTGTATAGAAAACTGCTTTAAAATTATTAGAAACTTGTCTACTTGTGTGGACACAAGGACTCAAAGAGTTAGGGTATTTTTAAAACCTGTAAAGATATTATTGATTTCTCAAGTATTGATTTCATTCTTCTCGTGAATATGAAAAGTATGTATCTTGTCAATGGTAGTCCAGGCAGAACTCCCATCCCACTATGAAGCAGCACCAAAGGCTAGTTAGTGGGGAGGAATTGGCTTCTGACAATTTTCTGATAGGAAATATTTGATATGATATGCACTGGGTTGTGCACTAATGCATGAATTATAAGTAAGTTACCAAAATCAGTCATGAGAAGCAGTAATGTGATCCTAATTTTGGGTAAAAGTGCCCGCATTACTGTTACAGCTACCCAGTAGTTATTGTTCACAATCAAATTGGGAAATGGAAATAGAAAATATGCCTGTCAGCCGTTTGTGACACCCCTCATGGTTCCTTGCCCAGCACCTTCTCCCCTTGGCACTTTTATGAAATGACATCCGCACACCCTAGCTGGAAGATGAGGTCATTGGGGATGAATGCTCCCAACTCATATTCCTCTTGTCTCTTGATTGATTTTTTAGAAGTTTCAAAGGTACAGGTGACGATGGTTACAAAATGGATGAATAAAGAAAGCAACTAGTAACATACTTCTTTTTTTTTTTCTTGGAAAAGAATGAGTTACTTTTGGGGTAATTATCACAACCCTGGATATAAATTATTCTCTTTTAGGTTATGGAGCAATATTCCATGTATCAAGTAAAGGAGTTTCCACCCTGAACTAATGCAAAAGTTGGCACACCTGAGCTGAAGTGTGGTTCTATCTCCTAGGCCCATCAGTCTCACTGATCCACTACTATTGCCTTGAAAATAAAAGTGTTCCCCCTTTCTGAAGAGCCTTTGTAGATGTAGCTTTGTAGGCTGGATATTTACATTTATTTATATATTTATATTTTATATTTTATTATTTGTATGGAATTGGTTGTTAGTTTAGTGCATGAATGAGGAGAATTAAACTAAAGAACTAATTCTATTCCATAATCATGCAAGTTAATGTACATAGTGATTTTTGATGGAAGAAAGGAGCTACTGATATTTTGAGGCTGACAATATAGGTGATGAGCTGTGCCTTGCCCTTTTCTTCATAGGCCCTTTGGCATATGGAGTGACAACTGCCCTTCACATACCTATGGAAGAAGATACCATTAGGTTCAATCCGAATGAAAAGGTCCTCATTCTGAGCAAACCTGTCCCCGGAGAGGAGACATCCAGGAGGGTTCTTGGTATTGAGGTGAAAAATTAGATCCCATTCTTTGTTGGACATGAAATTGTGTATAAGCCTCAGGTCTGATTTCTGGCATATGGATTTCTTATAGTACCAGCAACTCAGTAAAGCTTCTGCATATTCACCCTATCAGTGGATGAGCTATTGAGCTTGGTAAATTAACCTATATTGCTGTTTTGTTGAGCCTGTTTTCTCAGGATTCAAGTTTTACCATATATTAAATATTGTTTCATGATTGGGTATGTATTTCAAATAATTATTTAATATCACTAGTTGTTACATCCTCTAGGTGAATGGAAAGAGAGGTTATGCTCCGCTGCAACTCATTCGTGAAATATCTGTAATGAAGAAAACTTTCGTGACTGTGGAAATAGAGCCTTTCATGAGGAAACCTGCATCTGCAAAGAGTCTGCACCATTCTTCACAGAAGAGGAAGTTTGAAGAGGTATTAAATGCTGCCAGAGGTTTGGGAATCACTCCTGCACCTGATCAGAGCAAAGAGAAAGTGCCCTCTCTATCTCCTTCACCTGTAGAAGATAATGCTTCTCATATGACTGTTGGACCAGACTTTTCAACTCATATCCATCCAAAAGATGTGGAAAGTGCTAAGTATGTAGTGATTGATGGAACAACTGTTGCAGCTGATATGATTGAGGAGAATATAAGTGAGGATGAGGAAGAAGGTGAGAGAACGATGGAGATGCCTCATATAACTGTGATGCCAGAACAAGTTCCTTTCATTACCAGAGTCATGAGCTCAGCCACAGAAGATGAGCATGCCCCATCATCAATTGACAGCTCTACAATGTATTCAGATGACTCAGAGTCAGAAAATGAAATGGACAATGACCTCCTCAGGTCCAGCTTTCAGAGAGTAAAAACTAAATATAATTGGTCCAAGAAACCTGAGATTAGCAATGATCAAGGTAGAGGGGACAATGTAGACACAGACAAGGAGAGTGAAAAGGAGAACAATGAAGAATTTGGAGAAGATGAGGAGGAGGAAGGGGAGGATGATGCAGCTGAAGACCAAGATACAGAAGCAGACTATCTTGAGAGTGAGGAAGCAGGAAGAGAAAACAAAGGGGATGGACTTGAAGACAATATTAATCCTGTGGTGTCTGAACTGGGAGAAGTAATAAATAATGATGGAACACAGAATGAGAAAAAGGAAGAGAGCGAGTTGGTGAAAGAAAAAACTGGAGAAGTAGATGTTCTTGTGGATGTTGGCAAGGAAGATATGGATCCTGTGGTAAGCATAAAGGTTCTGGAAGCAGCAGCTGTTAAGGAAAAGGAGGAATCTTTCATATCAAAATCCAGCTTTCCTGAAGGAGAAGACAACCAAGAAATTCAAGAAGAGAATCATAGGATAGCTTCAACAGGACAGCAACAGATTTTAGCAAACAGTGGGGTTGAGACTGATCATGAGCAGGGAAAGAAAGACGTGCATGAAGATACTGGCAGTGAGGGTCAGAAGAATCAGGAATCCAATTCTGGAGCTAGGGTCAATCCTGAAATTCCTTATGACAAAGTGAAAGAAGTAGAGTATGAGGCATCACAAGATGGGAAAGAAGAAAGTCAAGTTTCACCTCAATCTGAAGGAAAGCACTCCCATTTTGTAGCAGCAGAAGGGAATTCAAAGGGCCTAGATATGGTGAGTGGGGTATTCCCCAATCAGACTGAGGACCCCAACATAATAGAATTTGAGGAATTGGGAGGGGAAAGGGAGGAGCCAGATGGTTTGAACCCAACTCCAAAGGAAGAGGTTGGATCTCAAGGATTCATGTCTATAGCCTTGAGTCTCATGTCCTCCTTAATATCACCTGTTGCATCTGAGGACATGGTGACCTCATCCATTTATGGATCCTCAGAGCCTCAGGAGAGCAGTCTCTCTCCTCATGTTGATGAAGTTCATGAATCAGTTGAAATTAGGGTTGACAAACCTCTGTCAGAGAGTGCAGGAATTTCTCATCCAGCAGAAGATTCTGGGAGCAGGGACAATGAACCTCTTTCAATGAGTGGATTTGAAGGTACACATGATCAACCCTTGATGTTGGAGAATACAGAAAGCTCATTTGCTGCAGGAAAGGAGAGTGTTAATGTTGCACCTATTGAGAGCCATACCCATAACGAAGATGTCAATTTACCACCAAAAGTTGTTGATAACATCATCACCGAAGAGACTGTGATGCCTGACCGAAGGGAAGATCCAAAGGAACCTGCATCTGAAACACATGAAATGTTCTGGGAAAATGCCAAAGCTGCTCTCTTAGAAAGTAAGTCTGATCTCATTTTAACTATACCTTTTCCTTGAAAGGAAACGAGGTTCTCTCTGCAGGTGCTTAGATATTTATGTGGCATTGGAAAGCTGTTAGTTTTTCAAATAATATTGATTCAAACTTAGCTACCTAAGCTTTTACAGAATATACAAATATATTGGAAATTTGATGTCCTATTGATTTAGGAAACATTTCATTTTCAAAACCCTTATTGTGATAATAAATACAAATGTAAAATTAGTAAACTCTCAGAACAGTACAGTAAGCTGAGTGGTTATTCCTCCTTCATAAACCCAACAATCATTCCTTTATGCACCATCTCCAGGTGTCATCTTATATATTCTTCTTTTTCCCTTTACTCTTCATGTTCTGCATTTAGTCTTATTAAAACTTTGTCTTGCCATCTTTTAGTGTACGCTCAAAGGATGCTTACTGTTTCACTGGTCTTTGCCCAGCTTGTCTGCCAATCCTGGACTCAGAAAATTAAATCTAAAATCTTTCAAATGTAATTAACCTCAAACTTGAGATTAGAGTAAAAAAAAAGGAGAAAAATAGAGATGAAAACATTTATGTAGGACATGTATTTCTGGTTTAGTTGATGAAATGAAGGTCAGAATAGGGGTAGATTGACAGCCACAGGCTGAAAATATGTGTACTTAAATTTTATCTGAATTATGAACCAGAGTTATGGTAGTACAGAAAAAATCACAACTTCTTGCCAGCTCAAGAGCTGGCAAGTTGTGGCTTAGGCAGTATTAAATGGCAATTTCTTGATTTCCCCATTGTATTTGGAACTGTCAGAAAACTTGGAGTGTAGGGATTAGAGAACAGAGGGAGTAGGCCTCAAGAACTATGTCCCTGACATAGTTCCTATTGCTCCTCAATGGCATTCTCTTATCAGAGGTTTGTGAATTTATTTTCTGTGATGAGTCTTTTTTAGGAGCTCAATGCCCATAATTGTTTCCAAAGCTAGTGAAGCTGTTGGAGTATGCCTTTTACCATTACTTACCATAGCGGCTTTCTGGGATCAAGAACTTCTCTTATTCTCTGAAAATTTATGAGTTCATAAATTCTGTTCATATTATTGCAGTTCAAGAGAGCATTCTGGACCTGACATATCCCTGTGTGGAGTACATTAAAGTCATATTTCTTCCACTTTGGCCTTACATTGCTCAAGTGGTGAGTTTTGCCCCTCAAACTTGATTGTTTACAATGGGACTAATCTACAGTGTGTTACCATGATGTAGATGCCTGATCTTTTCTTGCTTTTTTTCTCCCTGAAGGTTCCTGCAGAATTCCTGAGCGCAGCCTCTGTGGGGACTTCTATTGTTGCTCTCTACCTTTTCTTCACTTCCATTACATTCTTCATTATGAAGGTATCTCCCACTCATGATTTTTTGCAAAGGAAAAATTATTTTAAATATCTATAGTTTCTCCCTCTTGCTTTCTGATTTCAGTTCTCCATCCAGAATCGATCAATTCAGAAGCAGCTGCTACTAATAGCAAGCCAGTATGGTGAAGTTGTGACACAGCAGAACTCCTTAGAAGAAGAGAATGACACTGTTCGTCTTGAGGTACTATGAGCCAAGCAAAGGGAAGAATTCCATGGTTACTATCTTTTCATAAAATGCACCAAAGCTGGATCAATTGTTTCTTTAGCTGCAGCGAGAACGCAAGTGCCATCTTCAGGCCACCAGCCGCATTGCTAGTATGGAGGAGCAATTGGAAGAGACCAAAGTCAGTGTATTATCATGCTTAAGATTCAGTTCAGCCATGTGTTTGTATACTTCCAAAGGGAAGCATACCTTGATTGTTTTCCTTTGTAACACTCACCTTTAGAAGTTGAGCCAACAAAAGGAGGAAAAATTGGTGGAGTTGGCAGCTGAGAAAGAGAAGCTACAAGATGCTTATTCAGACTTGCAGCAACAGTTTGAATTGATCCAGGGGAAATTCTCCACCCTGATAGAGGATTCCTTCCATTCACAAAAGTCAGTAGATGATATGAAGGATCAAGTCCAATGGTTGGAGGAAGAGTTCCAGAAGAAGACCAGCATGTTTAATGCACTGCAGGAGCAGTTTCAGGCTCTTGGCTCTGAGGTTGTCTACTATGCCATGTCTCATCTTGGGCTCCTCTTCCTGATGGCTGAGACTCATGCAGCAATTCTTCTTTTCAGAGAGAACGCCTTCTTTATGCTCTGGAGGAGAAGGACAATGAGATTTCTTCTTTGAAAGAAGCAAGTTAACTCAATACCTTGTGACAATGAATCATTGGTTGATGTGGTTTCATGTTTAGTATTGTCATTAGGAAAAGGACAAGCTTGAACAGGAGTTGACAGAAGCTCAAGTGAAGATAGATGATTCATCAATTGAAGTGGTCACTCTCCGGAAACTCCTGACAGACATTGAGGGAATGAGTGGGAATAGTGAGCCTATTTTTGTGTAGAACTTGAAGAACACCTGCATGTTAATCTTTACCACACCTTTATTATTTCTGCTTTTTTCTGATTATGTCTCTTCAGATGCTGCTGATTTTCTCTTAGAGATATTGAATCTTGGGAAGTTGGAAAGGAAGCTCAAGCAATTAGGAGAGGAAAGGGATGCTCTTAAGGAACAAGTCTCAGAGCTTGCCTTTGTGAACGGTTCTTATCACATCATCATTTCACTTTTTTCATCTCTCATTTGAGAATGTGGGTCAAATGTATCATGCTTTTTTTGCTTTGCTTATGCCAACAGACAAGATCAGGGAGCAGGCTGACATCATTAGTGAACTTATGGAGAAGGAGAAGCATAGTCAAGTTTTGGATGCCTTCTACAAAAAGAGGGAAACTGACCTCCTTGCGTGAGTTCTCATAGGCTATATGCATGAGAGAAACAGGCACAGTGCAAGATGTATGAGCAAATTATACATCGAAATAGAATTTTTGAATGTGATTGAAGCTGTGCACAGTAGGGGATGGTGAAGCAGAATGGGGCCATGAGGCAAAACAGGTTTTGCTTAGATTTCAACCAAATTATGCTTCATATTTATAAGATATTTACTGCATCATGGCCCCATACCACAGTTTTTTTTAAGGTTTTCACCATGGTGATGCTTGTAAAGTTGTTTGTAAACTTGCTAGGAGCAGAAAAAGAAAACAGTGACTTGCCCTATTTTGTCTCAAGTTTATTATTAGTAAAAGAACTATGCTGTTAAGGATGAGATATAACAATGGAAGCATTGGAAGCTTCCAGCATTTTTTATTGCTAGAAATGAAAATGTGAACTCCAAGTTTATTTACTTATTGTGTAACTCACTTTTTTCATTTGCAATCACAGACAGTAATGGTGTGGCAAAATGAGGTGCCATGGCAGCCTTCATCAATAGGCTTAGTAGTATCTTTTTTTTTATTTTTTCAATTCCTTTTTCAAAAATACACACTCTCATATTCCCTCTTTCCTAAATGCTGAGAAAACAGGATCTCTTTTTAGATGGTGTAAATACAGGGTGATCGTGAGGTCAGGAAACCCAAATAATTACATGTTTTGTCCATACTGTACAAGATGGACCCTTCCTACATTGCACAATTATAGTTCAACATTTGTACAATATATGTAGGAGGATGTTTTCTCATTACACAAGTGTCAAGCCAGAATTTTGCTTAGTCATTCAGTTTCAATAATGGTGTTCACATTGGAGCAGTGTTTTCCTTTTTGAGACTTATCTGAATAAAAAATCTTACAAGCTGTGTCAGGAAGCATTTTAGAAGAAGTTCAACATTCCTTCCTGTTCACTTCCTGTGTCACGAAATCGCTTCACCAACTTCCAGATTGCAGACTTAGTTCAACATTCACCGCGTGAATGTTGAACTCCTTTTGAAATGCTTCCTGACACACCTTGTAAGATTTTTGATTCAGATAAATTCTGGCTTGACACTTGTGTACTGAGGAAACATCCTCCTACATATATTGTATGAATGTTGAACTATAATTGTGCAATGTAGGAAGGGTCCATCTTGTATAGTATAGAAAAAATGTGTTATTGTTTGGGTTTCCTGACTTTATGATCACCCTGTATCATCTGTGTTCCTCCCCCCCCCCCCTTCCCTGAACCAAAACTGAAAACCCGGGGGTTTTCAGTTTAGGTTTTTAAGAGCATTTACCTCCACACCCACATCTATGGTCTCAAACTGGTTAGTGATCAAAAGAATCAAGTTGCAGATACAAAGTGCCTTGATGAGGTTCTTCAGTGGGTGTTTGGTGCCAAGTGTCATGAGATGATGCGAAGTGCCTCCAACCATGAGAAAAAACCTCCAGGTCTAGTAGCTACATATTTTTTCCAAGGGATCCCAGACCTTTTGGTTTGAACACATATTCAATATGCCTCCTGAGAAATTCAAAGAAATGATTCCTCCAATCAATGACCAACAAAAGACCAATCAGTTGGCCTCATACATGGTGGATGGACTACTTTGCAAATCTTTGTCACAAGATGTTTGGTATACCATCTGCCAAACTTGAGTCTGTTGTCCAAGATCACAAACACTGGAAGATGCTCCTGGGCCCGTTTTAACTGCAACCTCATTATGTCGGGATGTTCGTTTTTGAAACTGTATGAATCTAATTTCAAATAATTAGTGAAACAGCCAATTTTTCTTTAAAGTTGTTGATTTTTTCATCAAGTAATTACAGTTATGAAGCTGTGATTTTCATGAATATGAACGAAAGCTTGCATAATCCTCATATTGGCCTAAGAATCTCTCTGAATGTTCAATGGTTCTATTATATACAGTGTGTCCCAGAAACCCCATCCCAGGTTTTGTACATTATTATATCTTTATTTTTTTCCTGATGGAAATGAGTTTTGTATAATTCGAAAGCGTAGACCTTTCTTAACAACTGCTGTTAAACCTGATGGTTTGAGATGACTGGTTTTGGGGTTTTTTGAAAGAGAAGGTGTATGCTACAAAACCCCTAACATTCCTGACTTCATCAGTGCCATTCACTAAGTCTTAGTCTCCGTCCAAACTATGGCGGCGGGGTTTCTGGGATGCAGGGAATTCAATCTTTTAGCCACTGAAATTGGTTCCCATTCTGATCATAACACATATGGCATTGCCAGGGAAAGTCATTCGCTGCTTTCTGGCACATGTCCAAGCCTATGGCATTCAGTTTGGTGGAAATAGTGCTGATGAGGTCAGGGATGTTAGGGGTTTTGCAGCATACACCTTTCAAAAAACCCCAAAACCAGTGGTCACAAGCTGTCAGGTTTAACAGCACTTGTAAAGAAAGATCTAGGCTTTCAAATGATGCAAAACTCATTCCCATCAGAAAAAAAAATAAAGACATAATAATGTACAAAACTTGGGGTGGGGTTTCTGGGACACCCTGTAGAGATAAGTATGATATTTTTTATTATTACTGTAATTGCTTTTCAAAGCTTGAGGAAAAGTTTTTTAAACGTCTTATCTTGCTTTTATTACCTATGCCTATTTGACTGACTAAATTTATCAGGTGTGCAAGCTTTTGTAGCTGCTTTTCCTGTCACTGAGACTATGACAAATGACATGTTTTCCCAAGTTTTGATTATATTGAAGCAGAGGCAGATTGTGAAATGCATTAGCCCTTGCACTAGCTGCTGCTCTCTGCTTGCAAGATTGCAATTTGCAGCTTTCTGCAGTGTTTTGTCCTGCTGCAAATTACATTTCTCCACTTAAGAGTGTTCATGCAGCCTCTCTTCTTCTTACTCTTGATGACCAGAGTGATTTAGACCACCTTTCTTTCTTCCATCAGGGAGGTGACACGATTAAAAATGAAAGAAGAGAAATTCTTAGCAATGGAGGCAGATGGGAAGACCTTAGGTGATCGCATAGAATCCCTTGAGTTAGTATTTTTTTTCTCCCAAGCTTTTTTCTCCCTCTTGATATGCAATTTTATGTTTTCCTTCTATTTTTTCCTCATTAGAGAGACCATAAAATTGGTGGCAGCTGAGAGGGATCAAGCAGCAAGGACTCAGAATGAGATTGCTTTGCAGGCAGACAGGGAAATCCTGGACATGAAGGTTTTAATAGGCTCCTCTTCTTCCTGCCCCTTTGGCAAGGATTAGGAGAAGGAAAAAATGACAACATTTTTCTATTTCTCCTATATGACAGAGGCAGATAATAGTGATACAGAAACGCCTGAATGCAGCCATGGCTGAAAACGCAGATCTTCGACAAAGGTTGACTTTTTAAAATATTTTAATTGTATTTTTTTCCCCTCTCTCCTTTGAATTAAGATAGAGAGAAGGAAGAATTAAGCACTACTGATCCCATCATGATTTCAGTCCCTCCACAATGCTTCGTGCATACATTAAAAAAATTCTCTGAAAATGAGCAGATGGTGATTCATCTGGGGCCAACCTGAGATGCAGCATAGTTCCTCATAGTTCTTTTTTATTTATTTCAGATTGACGACTCTTGGAGAACTCCAAAGAAACAGTTAGTGCTATTTATGCCATGTGTGTATAATGCTCATCAAGAGCTTTACCTTTAGGTATCATATTTGTTTCTCTTTATGTCTGTCTTAGGTGCAACATCCAGCTTGGCAGGGGACCTGGACTCTCTTACATTTGAGAACTTCAATGAAGAGATCCCAGATGGAGGGCCAGTCCCAGGCTTCTTCTCTGCACTTTCTCATCCATTCCCAACAGAACATATTCCTCCTGCTCGTTTGCCACCTCCACCTCCTCCATTACCCCACCCCCTTGGAGGCACATACTTTTTGGCGAAGGAGAGGCCCCCATCATCAGGATATAGAGCTACTGGCAGGAATTCCAGGTCTAGATCCTTCCTGTTTCTTTCTTTTTTTGCTGTTGAGTGACAAAGAAAGGGATATCCCAATGATCCTTGCATTTGCAGGAGGTTGAAGAGTTCCATGTATGGAGACTCCTCTGGGGAAAGTGATTCTTTGTCCCCACCTCCATCATCATCTCGACACTCCCGTCAGTCCCGTCGGTCCCGCTCTCCATCACCAGAATCAGAACCCAAGCGTTGGATGGATCATGCTCGACACTGCCCTCCTCGTTATTATCAAAGGTTAGCCTTGACTGGATCTTAGCATGGTGCCAAAATGTTGTAATACATAGTATCATTCTTAATTCATTCAATTGCCCCATGAAATGCAGCAGGCATCAATGTGGTTCCCGTTCTCCTTCACCCCCATATGGAAGGGGAAGACGGCAGGGAACTCGATCACCCAGCCCACCAATGTCCCACCGATCCAGTCGGTATTCTGTCTCCCCATCTCCTCCCCTTTCTCGCTCTCATTCTCCATCTCCATCAAGGGGAGAGCCATCTGTGTCATCCTCTCCTTTCCCTCATTCAGCCAATCATCATCCTGGGCCTCGTTCCCATCTCAGACGATCTAAGGGTGATTAATTTTATCTTTCCTCCCTGTGTTTCTGATTTATGGATGATATTTTTCATGTATGGCATTTTGGTTTCAATCTAGGAAAGACTTCCACAGCTCACAAGGAAGATGAGGAAGGACATGGAGAAGAAGAACCCATCCATGGTCAAAATGGCACCCAAAATTTTCCTATCCCAGTATGATAGGTGTTGTTGTCTAGTGGGCTACTCCTGATTATCTTGTGTATTTTTAAGAAAAGGCCAAGAGGCGATATTTCTTAAAGAAGTCATTATTGATGACTTGGGTGATATGCATAGAATTGAAGAAGAATCCAGTGATATGAAGCACTCACTCTGGTTGGGTAAGGTCTCTCTCCTGCACTTTTGGAGAAGCTTCCTTATGGCATCTCCATTTTAATTTCTCTGGCTATCTGGCTTTCATCAAAAAGTTATCTCCCACTGCCTCCCTACTATCTGTCTGTCTGAAAGGAACTTATTTATGACTTGGCCCAGTGTGTTTGCCTCCATTGGTAATTATTCTCATATTGTCTTATGCAATTCATTCTCACGAGGTTCTTACACCATTGGTGATAAAGTGTGAGTCCCATTTGACTTAAAGGGTTGGGGATTCTTGCTTGGTATCATGCCTATTTATGAGGTTTTTTTTCTTAGAAATAAAGAGAGAATCCATATTTTTATGTAACTTGTTTGAAAATAAATATCTGCTCCCAATCATATCAGGAATTCTTCCATTATAAAAAAAACTGCGAAACCTCTTATTTCATTGCTTAACATCATTAATCCCCTCCCCCACCTGGGGAGACTTTACATATGAAGGATGATCAAGATATTCCAGGACTGGCTCTGTAGCTTCATCTTTTTTTATTGTCAGATGTCAATTCTCATAACTATGTTGTGCTGGGTCTTGGGGGTGCATGGTTTTGCCTATTGGTTTTCATTTTATTTTTATTTTTTACGAATTTTTCTTTTTAATCTGGCATTTGTGAGGTGGGATGTATCAAACCCCAGGCATCTATTTGTATCAATTGTCTAGAGATGACTCATGCTGACACCTTGAGTGTCTATAGCTGTTGATGTGTGTACATAGATGACAAGTGCAATAATGTCAAAAACAATTCGTTCGATCTTCAGAAGGTCAATTAATGTTCCAAATGTCCACCTCACAGATTCCAGGTCAGTGGTCTCTTTGACCTTGGCAAAATTGAGTGATGAATCAGATAATACCAAGTCAGAAATTCAGAGCACCTTGAAATTTGGGTGAAACTGGGAACTGGGAACCAAAGCAACTTGTGGTATACTGAGTGCCACTGCTCATGTAGCAGATGCTCCAGACTGGTGGATGATATTTGACACACACATGCAATTGAAAAAAGGCAAGTCATAAGGGATGGCCCAAGGTTACAGTCAGCCTTCAATGAGTGGATGACCTCGAGATGAAAGGATGGAACCTTTTTTTTTAACCAATTGTATCTTACCTGCACCACAGGTTGATTTCATTGTCTGGGATCTGATCTTGCTTTTGTTGAGAGTCATGGCCAGATTGGAACAGGTATGTGGGAATTAATAAAAATGAAAAAAGTTCATGTGTGCTGAAAGGTTGCATTTAATTTTCAGAACAATTCAATAAATTGCAATTACAAAGCGTTGCCACATTCATGCTAATAAGTATGTCCTAAATATTTAAAACTACAATTTGTCTGTAATTAGTGATCCACTAGATTACAGGGTGACACTAAAGTCTGTGGGCACATATTTTTGTACTTTTCTCTGGGTACGGAAGCAAAGGCACACACAACCGGTCAGTATATATTTAAAAAAAAAGAAGTAAATCCAACGTTTCGGAAGCGTAACGCCTCTTTCAGGGAGTGAAGAATCTATTGGGTTGGAAAGAAAGTCTTGCAACACTCTGCGCAAATTTTTCAAAATTTTATAACTTTATTGAAATGCAATTTCAGCCTACTATGTAATGACCATTGTTGTCAATGACATGTTCCCAGCGCACGGGTAACTGCTCGATGCCCTTTNTCGCAGACACTGACACGGCTTGCTTTGTCAGAGTCGCTGAGCTGATGAGGGACCCATGTTGAGTAAACCTTCCGATAGCCGAGGTCGTTCAGATGGTTGCCGATGGCCTATGGGTGACTCCAAGTGTAGTCGCCGATTCGCGAGTGGTGGCGTTCGGCTTCGCGTTGAGGGCGTTCTGCAGGGCTTCGTCATCGACTGTAGATGGGCATCCTGAGCGTGGTCGATCTCCGAAGGTCGTGTCGCCAGATTCCAAGCGTTTCAACCATCGAGACACCGTAGAATAGTGGACGACGTTGCCCTTGAATGCAGCGCAGATGTTGTCCGCGGCGGCTCTCGCAGAGTGTCCTTGGAGGAACTCGTAGTAGACGATGGGGCGAAGAGTTGATTGTTCGATCGGAGCCATGGCTGCCAACTAATGGCAGAAGCCGCCTTATATACCCCGAGGGCAGAAGCTTCGAGAACATTCCAGCATATACAAATGCAAAGCCCCGCCCATCATTCCTTTGAAAAATTTTAGAAATAGTTTTAGAAAGTGTTGCAAGACTTTCTTTCCAACCCAATAGTCGAAAATATATATTTAAAAATGCTCGGAATATAGGGGAAATAAAATGAGGGGAAAAGGGGGGGGGGGGGGGAGGGAAACAAATATCAACTAGGAGGGAAGGCGCGCGAGATAAAAATGATAAAAATTGTTAATTAAAATAGAATAAAATTGGAAAAGGTAAGGGGTTACAAAGAGGGGGTAAACAAGTGAAACACAAACTGGGATCGTCTCATGACCGAAGTAAAAAGAAGAATAAGTCAGAAAAAGAAAACGGGGGGGGGTTGTTAAAGGGAGTTCATGACCGGTTTTAGCATTCTTACCCAGAATGTTTCGAGTTCAGTGGCGTAGCCAGGTTTCGCCAATGGGGGGCTTACTTCTCTTCGCCCTGTGGGTGGAGGGGGGGGCTTCAGCCCCCCCCCCCCCCTTTCTACGTCACTGTACGCGTTGCCTTCTTTATGACGGTTCGGCTAGCCTTACTTTTTCAATAGGGAGGATGGATCTGTATGACGGTGTCCTGGATTATTAAAATGAATACCTGTTGGGACCTTGTAATTGAGTTTTGCATACCGAATATGTTCTTTGGCACGGTCAGAAAATGATATTCCCGTTTCCCCCACATATTGTGCCGTACAGGCTCTGCATGTAATAAGATAGATCACGTTAGGGGTGAAGCAGGTCATGTGAGAGAGGATGTTAAACTTTCTGCTGCTCTGGGACGAGGAAAAATAGTTTTCCTCTTCGAGATAAGGGTGGATAGAGCAGGTCTCGTTGGAGCACGGAAAAAAGACGGGAACTGGTTCAGTGACAGGTGCCAGTCTGGACCTTATGAGAATATCCTTCAGATTTTTTTGTCGTTTGAAGGTGATCAAAGGGGGGAGTGGGAAGGTCTCTTTGAGCTCGTCTAAACGGAATAAATATTTGAAACCTTTTCCTTAAGTCATGAATGTAGGAAATCCGGTGATCAAATTTAACTACAAAACAGAGCGACGGTCATAAAGGTACAATTTAGGTTGGGGGTAACGGGAGGGATTACTTTGGGTTTCAGCAGATTTGTTCGGTCCAGAATTTTTACCTTTTGGAAAGCAGAATCAATGATTTTCATCATTGAGAATTGTCATCCTTTTATTCATGTTCCATGTAGCCACCCTTGGCCTTGACAACTTTCCTCCAACGTGTGATGAATGATTCGGCTGCCACTCGCAACACTTCTTGGGGTATTTTAGCCCAAGCTTTATTCAAGGAGATGATGAGAGAGGTTAAGCTCCTGTGGGGTTTGGAGCATGCCTTCTGCTCTAACATGGCCCAAATCTAGAAGTCCATAGGGTTTAAATCTGGTGAGCTGGAGGACCATTCGTCAGGACTGATGACATCCGGAAAATTGGTTTTGAGCCACTGAATTGTGACTTCGAATGCATGTGAAGGTGCATACTTGGACTTTCCTGTTGGAAAGTCCAAGGTTGGTCCCCAAAGGTCTTAGCTGCCCAAGATTGGACCACAGCTTCCAGAACCTGTCTGCAGTAGTACTCCTTGTTCACCTTAACCCTTGGAGCAACAATGTGGATGGGAGTTTTGTGCTCGGCGGTTATCCCAGCCCAAATCGCGACAGATTTGGGCTTTTGAACATGCTTCCGGAAGCGGCCAGGGTGGTGCTTGTTCCGGAACTAGAATCGGTCATTGTGGCCATTGAAATGCTGAGCTACAGTGAAGATCTCGTCGGTAAAGAAAATTTTTCCCCACCCCTTGCGACCGAACCTCTTGGGTAGCCCTTTCGCTTTTCGCAGCCTGGCTTGTTGCTGCGCAGGGATTAGCAACTGCACCTTTTGAACCTTGTAAGGCTTCAACTTTAGCCTATCTTTAGCTAATTTTCGAGCAGACTCGAGGCTACACTCCTAGAAAAAGGGGAGCGATTTTTCTCAAAAAAGAGGGTAAAATCGCAAACTCCAATTTCACTCTCCTTTCACTCTGGGAAAGGAGCGAATATGCTCCATCACCAAGGAGTAACATAGCTCTCCTCCTCCATGAATAAAAACGCTCCCCTCAGAAAGAGATAGGGATATCATGCAAATGCACAAATCCTCTCACTTTCGCTCTCTACAGTACAGGCATTGACCTACCTTTGACTGTACTGATAACAGTACATGTCAGAGGTTGGACCACCTCTTATAGTTCCATGAAGCGTCCGCGATGTCAGTCCTTCATTTCCTCATTCTCTCATCAAGTTGAGGAAGTGATAGGATTGATTTCACGGCCGTCCCCTATGTATTCTAGATCTCCTCTGCGGATGAAATCGTTATGAGTTTCAAAAGGGTTCTCATCAGGAATATGAACTTGTTTATGGCCTGGGCTCTATGAATCTGTTTTGAATATGTGGATAACAAATGATGGAAAGTCCGTGTTTGTTGATTCCTATAATGAGACTATGCGAGACATATGTCGAGGTACAAAACAATCCTGCGAGGGATGATTCCAGAGAAAGAGGAAATTTTCGTGTACTCTGCGAACAGCGAGACCATTACCTCAATCTAGTGGCGTGGCAAAGAACTTCAAGATGCTTACTTCACTACGAGCGATGAGGGAGCATTTGGTGAGTAATAAGAGAGTACATTTGAGAAGCTCACAGTGTGCTCACTTTTTACTCCCTAAATGCTCGGAATTTTCTAAGAGTGTAATACCAAGGGTGGAGGCAACAGAACGCATAGAGCAGTTGGAGTTGCGTCTGAGCAGTTGTCGCTTACGTTTCCTGACCTTGGGGACATTGGCAGTTGCTGGGTGGCCACTCCTAGGTTAGTCAAGACTTCTACCAAGCTCCTTGAAGCATTTCACTGCCTCGTAGACACTGGACTGTGACGCACCAAGTAGACGAACAATATCTGCAACTGACTTTCCAGATTTATGGAGTATGAAAAAAATGGAGTATGATTATGGCTTCGCGCTGGTAAAGTATCCTGAGGTTTTGCACTAGAGAGCTGAAACTTTAGGACATTGTGCATGACAGCATTGCCTATGCGCACACAAAAAAATCACATTATTTGATTAACCTGGCAGGGAGAAAATTCACTGTCTACATACTTTATTGTCACCCTGTATGTTCCAGTCCAAGTTCACTGGAATGTGCAAAACATTTCAACTATTATCTCATCTTTATTT